AGTTTGAAATAAGTATTCTTTTCCAGTATTAAGTTCGAAATAAGTATAATATTATTATTATTAAGTTCGAAAGTATAATAAAAAAATAATACTTATTTCGAACTCAATACTGGAAAAGAATACTTATTTCGAACTTACTACTGGATGGTGTACGAACTGTCTGTAATAGGTGCTTGCATGTATTTTGATCATGGAAATCTATTTGCGAAAATGATAAGGTAATAAATGTGCTCGATATTTCTCTACATTAAATAATAGTTTTCCATTTAATATTATTGAGTTATTCAGTATATACAGACGTTAATCAAGGAATGCTCAAAATTGAATTTTCGACTTTCATTACTTTTGTTGCTTGATTTGAAGAAATTTGCTGCCGACGCCCAGCGAACACTTTTAAAAACTTATGATGTTGCTGCTCCATCCTATTCCAATCGTCGGTTTTTTTTTTGTTGTCAATGACACCGTCTGGAGAACCAAAAAAGTTCGAATTGCAAGACTTATTGTACGAAAATCTAGCTTAAACTCTCAAAGAACGTTCGAACAACCTCTACATGTTGACATGTGCTAGGAAGAATCCAAACGAAAAGAGATGGCGATTTTATTGCTTGGCAGGCAAGAAGAAAAAGGATATCTATGACGTATTGTGACTGGTGATGAAAATTGGGTCTACTAAAACAATCCGAAGGGCAAAAAATTATGGGTTAGTCTAGGAGAGCCATTCACATCGATATCGAATATCCGAAAAAAAGAATATACATAACCGAAGTAATCCATTTGGTACAATAACAGTGCACTCAAACACATTTACTCTATGCATTTGGCCGTTTCTCCATATAAAGTCGCTCATAATTTTCCTGAATACGGCTTTTAATATATTATATAAATGTATAAAAGTATTAATTAAAGTAAAGCAAAAAGCGACATGCAAACGGGGTCGTTATTCTCTTAGTATTTTATTTCCAGAAGTATTCTTAGCCTCTCAGAGTAGAGTTTTTAATAAAAGCCGAAAGACTTAGATGCTAATGCTTTAAGACTTTAGTCTCAGAATTTATTCTCTGGCTAAATTTATAATAATAAAAATAGTAATTTTTATTTAATTTCCACAATGATATTTCTTCACTTCGGTGAGCTCTAACTTACTTACTACAGGTACTTAGAGTTTAAAAATATCACCAAAAACTAGGAAGATCTAAGATGGTAGAATACTTATCCTTTGTTTATAAATGAAATTATCGGGAGACAAAAGAGATGTAAACATATATGAAACATTTGAAGCAACATTTTTGTGGCATTTTTGTCAAAAGATGGCAGCTCGGGCAAGCTAAACTCGTCTAGCCTTGTTATAATCAGCGTGAAAGGTGAAAGTCCAAAGATAATAAAAAAAAATGAACATTTTGATATTTGTTAGTATACTCGAAAGTAATTGCGTTTTGAAAAAAAATCAAAGTGTTGAAAAAGTTCGCTTTAAGAATATCACCCAGACTAAGGGGATAATGCTTCGCGATGCTCTGTCAAAGTCAACAGCTCGCAAACGGTTTGCTCTTGGAATTTGCGTCTTGAAATTTTCTATTTTAAAGAGTAGCTATGATCTACTGGACCAAATATTAACAAAATCCAAGACCGTTCTTTAAAAGCTGAAGACGACCAGCATCTTGCGACTTCAGGCAGAGCTAAACATTGACCGGAAAGCAGGCTTGGCTGGACTGGGTAGAAAAGAGGAACTCGACATTTGGCTGCCGTGCGAATTAACATTAAAAAATTTAACGGACTGAGCTGCCATCTATAAACCGTTGCTGAAAAAAAACCGGAATCAACGAAACGAAATCATTTTTGAGAAAAATGATAAGTGCGATGGAAAGCTGTGTCCCATGATGCTTAGTCCTGGTCAGACGATTAATTCTACTCCCAAGCGTCAACAAACTAAAGCGTTCAATTAAGGTGAAGTGTTCAGAATTGGCGAGGTCTCCAAAACAATAATTAAAGGCTCGGTTAAAATTAGCTGGGAATTTCTGGAGTATCCACAGCGTAGCCCTCTTCTTACTCCGTCCGACTACCATTTGCTTTACTCTTTGCAGGCCTCTTTTAATGGCACACAATTGATTTTCAAAGAAGTCGGGGAAGACCACGCGTTTCACTCTTTTTGCAAAGATTTTAAGAAGAGACGGCATAAATATTTTAGTAAAACACTTATGAAAGGGTTATCCATCGAAATTGCGCAAGTTTTATTTACAATATAAAAAAAGTTCCGGTTAAAAAACTACGCTACTTTGATCGTTGCATACATTTTTGCAAAACAAATATAATTCCGCGGTGATGGGTGGAAAAATATTCGTCATTAATTGTTTGCCTTTTCTGTCTGTTAATAAAGAAACAACTAAGAAAATTTTAATTAATTTTTTACTTAAAGAAAACTTTAAGAATGCTAAACAGGTCTTTACTGTAAAGAAGTCATAAGGCTCCTTACAGCCGTAATTATCCTACTTGATAGTGACTGATGGTGGAAGCAAATACTAATTAACACAGGTACACAGGCTGCGACTTTACATACAAAATTCTATAAAAACATTAGCCTAACATAAAACGTCCGTCACGTAAAATACATGAATGAAAATAAACAAAAGCTACACATCTTTCTATGAAAATGAACCAAAGCTACACTTTTTGCGAAGAAAATGAACAAAATGCATACCTTTTTCGATGAAAATGAACAAAATCTTTCTCTTTTTCGATGAAATGTCTACGTGCGACAGAAGGCATGTCCTTCGATTTAGCACATTGGCAACTTGCGTGCAGGAATTTCCAATGTTTCTGGCAAATTTAAAGTCCATAGCATAATTTTCGCAGCCAGGAGGTTGTTTACAACAGACATTATATAGACTGACGGACGAATATGGTTCAATCGATTTAGCATTTAATGCTGATCAAGAATATTTGTACTTTGTGAAGTCTCTGATGCTTATTTCTGGGCGTTGCAAAAGTTTTGACAGAATGAATATACGCCTCATCACGGTGATAGGTGTAAAAACCTTTTTGAGAAAAGAACAAAATTTTCTTAAAATCGAAAATTTTTTTGAATATTTTTTAAAAAGCATGAAGAATCATTTCTTAAACTATGCCATGACGACGATATTTGTACGAAAGGGTGGACAGGCCAACTAACTGCCAACTTTCTTATCGAAAGCGATTAAAAATCTTATTTTTTGTGGTGTATCCTATACATATATATATTTCGAATTTTTTCAGAGAGAAAGACAAGATTAATTCATTTCCATGTTTCGGCAACTGGTTTAAATGTAAATAAATGAATTTAAATATGCAATAAAACATAAAACCTTACAAATTTTTGCTTAAATGAATTAGTGAAATGGCATGCGGTTAATTGTGTGCATGTGCGTGTATGCGTATAAAAGATTTCGAAAAGAAGAAAATTTGCAGCCCGAGGAAGGTAGAAGATGTCGCAATCTAAAACGTATAAAATATATGAGTTTAATAATCAACAGCAGTAGAAACATCAGCAACAGGAATCGCAGCAATATCTTGATTTCATATAAACAAGTTCATAACCGTTGTGTATTATTAATATAATAATAATATTATTAATGTGATAACAATAATTTTACGACAACAACAAAAATCCTAGACAAAGGAAAAAGAATGAACAGTGACTAATGAACAAAACAATTGACAGCAGACATAAATAGGGGAAGAAACAGACGAAAAATTTCAACAAATAACTAAATATTTCGAATTAATAGAACAAAGGAATTCAAATTACAATAATAATTGTAAAAGTATGCTGTCCTAGCCCTGCATATATACAAGTACACATCTATGGTGTAAGCTTTTTTATGAAAGTGAATTAATGCCCAAGAGAGAAAATTGTACGAAAGGGATTATCGCTAGAAGTCGCTTCAATGTAAATGATAAAGCAGCAGACAGGTAACAACAGTAATAAATGATTAATCAATATTTTTACGCCGACTACAAACAACAAAACCTCAAATAATCATCAATTCAATTAACAACGACTGCAATAAATGACTGAAATAGCTAAAAAAAAAGTGAACAAATACAGTGTTACTACAATAACAACCGCGCAATGACGGCAACAATCGGATACGATTGGACATTGTATTAACGTTGAATTCATTCAGTTGGTTGCGCGCATTGAAGTCTCAGACAGTGGTATATATTTCTGGTTCGGTTTATCATCTTTCAGTATACTATTCAGCGTGGTTTACACACATCTCATGGACCCATATTCAAAAAATTATTGACATAAAATAAAAATCAAAAAACTATGGTAGCCGTAAAACAAAAACTTTGAACCGAACAACCGCCGAAAAAAATCGGGAAAAGAAATATAATAATAATAACATTCGGGACCTGCGAGTAAAATTGTTAAAATCCTGTTATTTTGCTCTGCCTGCGTTTTTCGCCAGGCACTAAGTCTAACAATAGTAGAGTTACTTCTTCTCAGATTTGCTTTGCTTTGTCATTATGTTGGTCGGCACAACATCAAACTTAATTTATGGCTAAATATGTTTCTCAGATGTATGGTCAATACATACGACTTGGTTGCGTTATGCATTTTACTATGCATTTGCTCGTTCGTAATCAATACAGTCAGTTATGTTTCGATAATAACACACATGTATATAAGAGCGCTCAGACTGGTTGGTAATACTATTTTGTAAAGACTGGAATAAAAGTCAACAACAAATACGATAGTAATTCAACAAAAAAGCCAACAAAAAGAATAAAAAAAAAATAATGAAATAAAAGGAACAATCAATAAAAAACAAAATCAGCAACGACAATAAAAACACGATAATTGATTTCATTTGATGCCATCGTCGACATTTGCAGTTGTTGTAGTTGGTCTCATTATTTTCGTCACCAGTCCAATCTTTATTATCCGTTATTATGGAACGTAAATTGTTTTATATTCTCACTCTATGTTTGGGAGCTGTGCTCCTCGAATGGCATATGCTTACTGTTTCCGGCGAGCAGGACGAGGATATTCCCCATAATGAGTAAGTATTAAATGACTGATGCGATTATCATTTGTTTATGCGAGAAACAGGTACGTAAATGATTAAAAAATAATGACTACGTGTGTACGCTTTAAAATTATTTATTGCAATGGAATGCGGAATTTTCTTAAGAAAGCCACTTGAAGCAGCAGTAATCAGAATCAATATCTTACGTAAATTTTTAGTCTTAGCAACTTTTATAAATTTCAAAATGTTCCTAATCGTTGATTCATCTGTATGTGCCTGTTAAAAGTATCTATTTTCATAATGAGTCTCGTTTGATAACGTAGCAGCCTTTCAAAAAATGTGCAATTAAACTAATTTTAATGAAGCTCGTAAAAAAGGTAGTCTTCACGCCGGAAGTGTCCAACCGCAATTACCAACACTTCCTAACAGGTATATGAATGTCGTGTATAAAAGCATTTCTTACTCTTAAAAGAATGGATGATACCTGAAGAAAGTGTTGTAATTACATAGGCTTCGTAAGTTTCTTTGAATAGATTTGGAGACGTTTTACGTAAGAGAAATGCAAATTTAGAAAACGTTTATTTACTCGATATGAAATTTTTCTAAGCTTGTAATTGTATCACAATGAAATTTAATAAAAAGTTTTCATTTAATTAAAATTACTATTTCAAAACTTACGTTTTCGAAAAATGTATAGTTTAGTTTTAAGTGATTATTCTTCTTCTTATAGAGAACATAGAAATGACGTAAATCTCGGCCGTATAATTGAATTATGCATAATTGTAACATGAATACAACAACAAGACTTTTGGCTGCCCACGGAATATCATAGTGGATCCCTTATTTCTCACACGTTACAATTCAACAGCAATAATGATTTCGATTCATTTGATCTAATAAATAGTGGTTCCATGTTGAGACTTTCTTTGTGTTCGTTCCCACAACTTAATATGTCGGCAACCACAACGTGATGTAGGGTAAAAAAATTGTTCAAAATTAAAAATGTAAAATCGTTCATTTCAGCAAATTCATTCTAAATACATATTTACTTTTCGCCTATAATTCGTAACTATTCGTAGTGTAGTTATATAGAATTTCCCTGCGTTTACTCTACAAGCGCACACTCATTCCAAATTGTAGAAAATTTTCTATTTGAGCAGCTCACAGAAAGAAAAATCTGAAAGACAAGTGTCTTTTTTATACACTTTGTATTTTGTTTTCCGCAAACAGAAAAACACCTCTACTCCCTAATGGTTACGTCGGTGGTTTAAGAGTGTTCTCCAGTATAATAATGCAAACATACAATACATTCGTGGAGAAGTTGTGAGCAAGACTGTGATAAGAAAGACGGCTTTGACCCACAACTAGATAAATGGAGATAGAAAAGCTTAATTTTATACTCCAGCAGTCGACTTCTCTTATGGATAATTTATAGAGCTTAGAGCGACAACAGATTTACTTGCATCGACAATTTGTGCATGATAAGAATAAAACAAAATTTATGCAAAACATTTTATCTTAGTGTGCTGACAGATTGTGCTTGTGGATATTGCGTGTTTGAAACTATTTACTTATGATTATAGTACCCAACTATTGTACAAACATCAAACTAAAGGACATAAGACACTTGTTTTACTAGTTTTTTCATATCTTCCTCATATTTCCTCAATTGTTTAGCATATCAAAAAGAACTAGAATGCGCGGAGAAGATCAAAATGTTTGATTAATTGAAAGTTGAAAAAAATCGTTCGTCCTTCTTTGTTATGTGTGTTTACTAAATTTTAGGAAAGTACTTTCGAACTTAACATTTTTGATAGCTATAAGCAAATTCTCATTAAAATAGGCAAAGATTGTTGCTGACATTTTATAATAATATATAGTTTGGCAACTCTACGTGCGTGATGTAGTCGCGTTTTTATTCTATGCAAGAAATATTTCAATTTTTTTATTGTATTTCTTAGTTTTTTTGTTTTATTCGTGTTTAGTTTTAAAAATTTGAATGAATTTATTAACCATTTATGTGAAAAAATCATTTTGGCTTAGTGTATTATTATTATTAGCAGATTGGGGGAGAAGACTTCTTCAGGATCCATTGGTGAGTTGCAATTGTATGACCAAGGCGAATTCTCGAAAATGTTTGGATCTTGGTTTTCTCAACATTTGTTGGATATAGAGGTGGAGTTAATTGAGGGTTAATGCAAGAGTAGTGTTGATGATGGTATTGTAAATTTCCTTCTGCAATTTTCTCTTTAACTTTTCTTCCAATGTATCTTTGAAGATCCAACTTTTCCATGACATCATCCATAATTAGAGGAGCAGAAGCAGCATACTTTGCCGCTCGATCAGCCTGCTCATTTCCCAGTAAACCGATGTGACTTGGTACCCATAACATTTTAATTTTTCCGTCGGGTGTAGTAATTATATTCCTTAATTTGTTGATGTTGCTCCATCTCGAAGTCGAAGGGTTCCGGGTAGCTAGTAATACAGACAAACTGTCAGTAATAATGACGGTTTTGAGTTTGTTTTTATGGGCAAGGTTGGCAGCGTGAAGGATAGCTTTGGCTTCGGTTATGAAAGTTGAAGTGCTTTCGTGAAATATCTGGTTGAGAAGAACCCGTCCTGTAGCATCTACCACCGCACAAGCAGGAGGCAGACCAGGAGATTTTGAGCCGTCTGTGTACAAAAGATTCCAACCAGTATTGTCCAATACTTGGGTTTTCTCAGCTATTAGATTCCTGAAGACGTAATTTGGAGTATCTTCTTTCTTGTGCATAGACAGTAAGATGTCAAAAGAGCAGTCTTTCAAAATCCAGGGAGGTTTATCACCAAAAGAGCGGGAAATTTTTAAGGGAATGTTCAATTCCTTTGCGATGCACAAACAATGGTCAATTGCAGATGGTGACTCTGGAATTTTCTTCCCAATAATAATCTTTCTTACGTCATTACCGAGAATGGATTTGTTTGAATTAAGAAGCTTAGGGACTATTTTAGCTTTTAACTCATACAGTCTATTTTCTAAAGTTGGGAGACCAGTTTCAATTATAATATTATTTATGGGCGTCGTCCGAAAAGCACAACAACTTGCTCTAACGGCTTGGTGATAGACCGGTTTAAGGATGTTGATATTAGATTTGCAGTTATTGCCATAAATTATCAAAGCATAGTCAATCTTGCTTAACACAAGCATTTTGGTAAGATAAGCGATAGTGTTAATATGCGCATGGCTTCTCCAAGCAACGTACTGTATGAAATTTACCCTTGTTAAAAGGGAGTTTTTTAACCGAAGACAGTGTGCTTTCCAACGATAATTGTTTGAAAACGTGAGCCCGAGAACATGGAGCGTCTGCACATTTAGTACTGGTAAGCCGTTAATATGCATCAGTAGGTTTCCTGCATCGCACACTTGTTTTCGACAAATGTGCATTTTTTTTGATTTTTGTATAGAGATTATAGCTCCTGACGAGTTTGCCCATGTGGAGATCTCACATGTTGTTTCGTGTTGTCTTTTTCTTTTGTAAAAATGTATACATCGTCCGCGTAGAGACAATGTTCCACTCTTGGTACACGGCAAAGAATTTCGCTAATTTCGTTGAAAGCGATCTGGAAAAGCGTGACAGAGAGAGGAGATCCTTGCGGAATGCCATTCTTTAGCGGAAAGGAATCAGAAAGATGATTGTTGATTCTAACTTTGAACCGCCGATGCGACATGAATGATTTGATGTAGTTGAAGAATTTGGGTCCAACATTCCATGATTTCAAGAGTCTTAAGATAACATGAAGACCAACTCTGTCAAATGCTTTTTCGAAATCAATTGAGAGAATTGTTACGTGATTTCGTTCGGAAATTGCTTTGCTTGTGAAATAATCAATATGTAACAGAGCGTCGATGCATCCTCCACCCCGCTTGAAACCAACTTGTTGCTTTGTTATCAGGTTCTTGGATTCAAGAAACCAAGATAATCTAGATGCCATAATCTTCTCTAAAACCTTAGAGAGGCAAGATAAAAGAGAAATTGGGCGATAATCAGATGCGATGGAGACATTTTTTGACTTTGGAATTGGAACAACTGTTGCCATTTTCCACATGTAGGGTATATGGCCAGTCATAAATACCGTATTATATAGGTCCAGTAATTTCTTTTTACTAGACTTAGACATAGCACTGATCATTTGGTATGAGATGCGGTCTAGACCAGGTGTCTTCCCCTTCAAATTGGAGAGACAACTTCCAAGTTCTGAGGTAGATACGCAATTTTCCAGGAACATGGCACATCTATCGATATTATTTGAAGGAGATATTGGAGTCCTTTTATTTTCAATGAAAGCACTGGAGAAGTTGCTGTCAGAGGAGTATTCGCACCACACTTTTCCAAAGTAATTAGAAATCTCATCTGCGTCAGTTAAAGTTCCATTGGGAGTGCAGATGGCAGAAATTTGGTTCAGGTTTGAAGTCCCATTAAGTCTGTTGATTTTGTTCCAGACAAGTTTCATTGATGTATTTCTGTGAATTCGTCTCGAGAAAAGTTCGAAACTAAGTGCCTTTGATTTCCGTAATTCCTTCCTGAATAGAGCATTGGCCTTTTTGTATAATAACAAGTGATTCTGATCAGGACATCTCTTAAAGCGGTGCCATAGATCCATTTTATTTTTCCTCAAAAACGAAAGCCTGTTGTTCCACCATGGAACCCTAGCTCGTTTAAAAGAGTTGTTGGATTGAGGAATAGAAAGATGAGCAGCCGTGCGAATCGATTTAGACATAATAGCAGCATCATGGTTGCAGTTTCCGTTAAATGGCTTTGAGTTCAAAAATGACTCCACCTGTTTGGAGTAATTGATCCAATCCGCTTTATCTAGGAGGAATTTGGCCTGTTTTGCTGGAGTAGCAGAGGACGTTGGAAGTTTAAGATCGATTATGATTGGAAAGTGATCACTATTATGTAGATCATCAGAAATAGACCAGGACACCAAAGGAAGAAGTGATGGAGAGCAACATGTTAAATCAATATGTGAAAAAGTATGATGAGTTGAGAAGT